TTCTGCTTCTTTTAGCTTGTAGCTAATGTTCTGCTTCTTTTAACTTGACTTCTGCTTCTTTTAGCTTGTAGCCAGTGTTCTGCTTCTTTCAGCTCAGTCGTTCAGCCTTTGTGTTCTTTAGGAGGAAATGGTTTCTTTAGTTGAACTTTCTCTAAACAACTTCCTGCAGGACATTTTGGACCCAGCTTTAGAAGATTGAAGACACTCACTATAAACTATCAAATCAAACACAACACAGGTTCTTAATAATATCAAACGGTGCAGGAGGTGTTCAGATATGTTGATATGCAATTTTAACATGCAGGTAAGCACTCAACGTAAACAAAGCTCATTTATCTTTTTCTCAACAAATCTCAGCATAAATACGTCAAAGTTGTTGAACCCTCACTCATAAAGGGCTCTTCCACTGACGTCGCCATTGTTGACCTGTTGTCAGTTACTTCGGCTGTTTTTGTAGGTAAACAAACCCTCGTGGTAGTTGGCAACTGGTCACAGGGTTTACTAAAAAAAAAAAAAGTTGATTTAAAGACACATTAACCACCGATATGCAAAATAAGATGTATTCAACCAAAATTACATAAAGTAAGAAGAGCCCACGGGTTGATTTCTGCAAAAGTTTAATTAATATAATTAAAATAAATAAAATTTGATGTCACCTTTAATGTTCTATAATCTTTTAGTCGAGAAATAAATACTCAGAGCTAATCTGTCAGTGATCCAGGAAATGCAGAATACAACCCTGGCTTCACGTAAATTCCTTTCAATTTTACTGTTTATGACAGTTTGAAAAACTGAGTTTTTTTAGATAAACATCTCATTTTATAACTGTATGATCATTTATTTATTTATTTATTTATTTATTTCAGACTCTGTGCAGAAAATCCCCAAGTGGAACTTCTGGAAGTTTCTTGTAAATCCTGAAGGGAAGGTGGTCCGGTTCTGGAAAGCGGATGAACCCATGGAGAACATCCGACAGGAAGTCGCGACTCTGGTGCGGGAAATCATCATAAAGAAACGGGGGGAGCTATGATGATGAATAATGAGCGTAACGCCACTTGAAATCTTACGTGTCCTGCTCTGAAAGGCAGGAACGACTGAACTGTGACGGAGCGAGCGTGCTCGGGAGCCGTTACGGACCAAAGACACGCAGGATTATTTCTGCGCGGCCGGTCGGAGCGAGTTTGTGAGCTTTAACTTTGAGGACCATCCTGTGGGCATTTATGATGAACAGTTCCTGCAGAAAATGTTTGTTCAGCTCTTTGTTTGCTCTTACAAAGTTCTGTTATGCTCTTACAATCTGTTTTTTAATTTACAATCTGTTTTTAAAGCTGAAGCACCAGTTCACTCCCCGACTGATCAATTACAACTACACAACAATAAAACAACGTAGCTAAAGATCTGAACTTCTTACACCTTAATTTGTAGAACTACCCCTTTAAATATCACCTGCTGCCTAATGGTGAATGTGGATGATGTGGCCTGTTTGTGTGTGTGCGTCCGTTAGTAAAATATCTCATTAATCTTGGATGGATTTTGGTGAAATTTACTAAAAGTAATCCCGGGTGTGCATCTACAACGGATTAACTGTTGGAATCCAAGATGGCTGCCGCAGCCTCCTGAACTTAGCGTTTATTCAGTCATGTTTACAATTATTGTGCTAAAACTTGTGTGGTAGTTGCTGAGAGTCGTTCACGACACAAACGGACATATTTCCAAGGTTTGACCAAATCATATAATTTATCAACATCAGATTATTTCAGAAAAGTCACCTTCACTGGATGACAGTCTCATCAATTACATCATTTATTCCAATCTATTCCAGGCATGTTTTTTTGTTTGTTTGTTTGTTTTTCTGTGGCGAAGGGAACGTTGTGGATCAGATGGACAGTTGGACAGCAGCAGCAGGTAAGCTGGTCCCTGAAGAGTCAACCAGCTAACGAGACACTGCCTACAAACCACCCAAAGGCGTCGCCTGTTCCAAAATGGACACTTTTATGTCAAAACCTGTGTGACAGTCGAACAGAGGCTCAGTGTGGCTGTTGGGTTAGCAGAGCAGTGTGAGCTGACGGAGGGCACGTCAGCTAACAGTACACTGCCTCCCCACCAGTCACAGCTCAGAGGACATCTGGACCATGGCCTCATTTGGTGTCGTCAGGCAAGATCTGAAGCAGCTCAGAGCTGCACACCTGAAACTGCAGCTTCTGGGTGTTTTTGTTTCTAATCTTACCTTGAACAGACGGAGTCTCCGTTTCCATCGAAGGCGTCTCAGAATCCTCCTGATGGTGAGAGAAAAAAAAAACAAATTCATCCTTTAAAAAAATAACAAATCCTGTAAGCAATTTAGATTTTTCAACCTTAGAATTGAGCACAGATGCAACTTTTAAAAGTAAAGGCTGTGCTTGGAAAGTTTGCATGGGTTGCCATGGTAACAGCAGCAGCAACAGCGGATTAAAAGTCTTTCAACTTCGGCTGCTTTGGTTTAATCCCAAACTCGAGCTACTTACTCGTTTATTTGGATGTCCATTTGTGAGTTTTCCTCGCAGACTCTTTCTCCTGTCTTTAACCCGGGTTATATAGCCTAACCCGGGTCACACAGGTATGATCTCCTCTCCTTGGACTCCTGTCATAAATACTCGTGCAGGGCGGACAGTGGAGCGGGAAGAGCCCCGTCCTGCTCTTATTGGCGCTCAGCCCTTTGTTTTTAATGATCCTCTCTTGGAGATGGTTTCCACTGGAAACTAATGGCAAAATAAAGAAACAAAGCGGTGAAGGAGGCGGCAGCGGGATTTTTGGTCTAATCCCGATAACTGCTCGTGCGTAATTTCTACTCGTTTGTTTTACGCGCAGAATTACGCATTAATCATCGTAGTGTCTGGCTGGAATTAATATTATTTTAATTATATAGTACCATTATAAGCTTAATAACGGGAATGGAATAAAGGAGCCAGTTTAGAGATTTGTTTGCATGCTTAATAAAACAGCCCTATATTTTAAAGATTATAGTTTGAATAGCCTAAATGTTAATCCAACAAAAGCAGTTTTTATCGATCGTTTAGTTGTATTTGGCAGATGTGAATCCGGCTCCTGTTAATTGAAGCAGTTGTTTCCTGTCGGGACCTGTTGATAAGAACACGTCGGGGCTTCGTTTGGCGCTAGAATGAGCTGAACGGCGCGAGCGCGCGCGCACCTTCTCGCCACCTGTCGCCTCCATCTGGGCCTCTCACCGTGAGCTCGAGCCTGCAGGCTGAACACCAAACACACCACCCCCGAACCTCAATGGTGTTAGTCAAATATTTTGAATTAATATATGTTTTACTGGTTTATCAGCTGTTTGCCTTCTTTTTTTATCTTTTGTACACAGATTCAGGATGGCCAGTTATTTTCCTTCTTAAATAAAATCATTTGCATTTTGTTGTTTATATTTGCCTTGTGTTCCAACTTCATCCATCCTGCAGGGGGGACCCCCCCCCCCCCCCCACACACACACACACACACACACTTCTCCCTCTTTCCCTCTTTAATCCTGCTTCTGGCGGTAGTTCCAGCTTCTCTCCCAGATTTGGCCTCTGCCACCTTAGAAACTTGTTTCTGTTCCTCTCTCCTCTGGCGGCTGAACAGTTCCAGTTTGTCCCAATAAGCTTGAACAAAGCCTTACTGGTCTCTCTGGTTAGAATAAATAAAACGTGTCCCAGTGTTCACCTGTGAGCTCACCTGGTTCAGGGTTAGGTTCACAGCAGCAACTCTCAGAATTTTGCAAACACATTTTATGTTTGTTTACCTAAATCAATTAATAGTTTTGATAAATCCGATTATATTTACTTTTTTAAATGTTTAAATAAACTGTCGGCATCATACTGGATAAGATTATAGTCGTTTCAAAGTTTTTGGAACAGCACGGTTCATTTCTTTGGGCTCTGCTCTGAAAACACGTGGCTTTGTCTTCAGAAGCTGAATATATTCAGCATTCTGCTTTTATTTACAGGTATGGACAGGAAAAAAAAAAACATTTTGACCAGAAGTTTAGAATTATGTGGTTAAAACTTAATATTTATAATTACAAATAACTTGCAGTAACTGCATCATGCAGCACTAAATAACTTCAGCATTTTAAATTTGTGGACAGTTTTCATTGCAGCATGTTTCGGGTTGTTTTGGGGTTTGGGAGGACGAGTAAAAAAATCCATACCAGTAGAATTTAAATTTGAAAACTGGCTCATTTGATAGAATAGAATAGAATTGAATTGAATTGAATTGAATTGAATGTATTGTCCAAAAGAAAATTATTTTTGGACACTCACATTTATAAATAACTGCACCTTTAGAAGTGAACAAAAATGTGTCAATATTAAAATTAATAATTAAAGTGCACTCTAAAAAGTAAAATAGAATTGTTAAAATACCTCTAATAGATAAATAAATGCATAAATAGCCTTGAATGTCACAGACATGATTAAGGTGTCATACTGTACCTTCTTACTTCCTGCTGTTGTTGAAAACACACAGGAACACAAATAAACTTAAACTGATTAAATTAACATTTCTGATTTCTAAACTTTGTAACCACTCTCACTCAGAATGTAGGATTTGTTTTTGCATGTTTGGGAACACACTGGTCAAAAAGAACCTGTGACCTTCTCATTGAACAGCTCTAACCGCTGCACCACCGTGCCCCGGTGTTGATCCAGACCAACATGGAGTCAATGGGATTAGATGACAGATTCCCGGAGGTCAAAGGTCACATAGTGTCAAAGTTTTAAAAACATTATTCAGGTGAATAATATTGGTATGAAACAGCTGTAGTTTATGCTCAATAATCCAGGTAAAAATCCAACAATGTTCAGTCAGATCATCTGGACGCTTTCTTTGTTTCGCTGGGACGTTTCGTCCTTCATCCAAAGGACTTCTTCAATCTGAGGAGCCACAAACAAACTGAGTCCCACAAGCAGCACACTCCCATAGTGGGAAAAAAACAAAACAGTTTGCTGGTGATAAGATGGCCTCCGGGGCCCGCCCTCTCCCCCGTCAACTCCTCTGGGGCAGCCATGCCAAAGTGGTTCAAAACATCAAAGTTCATGCTCAATAATCCAGGTAAAAACTCTGTTATGACTCTTTTTTTCCCGCCACAACAGGTGGTTTTGTAACAAAATCAAGACCAGTAAGTGATCCAAACTGGACAAACAAAATCTGTTTGCATTTCCAAAAATAATATAAATAAGAATGTGGCTCTTTCAGAACAGGACAAAAGTGAAGGAAGCCTCCACTTCCTCCTGCAGGGTAAAGTTTCACACATGGAAGGTTCACATGAAAACTGTTTCTCTCCACTGAGAAATAAAGCAAAACTTTTGTTTTCACATCATAACTTTGGAAAATAACAGACACAGTTATCAATTTTTTTAAAATAATTTAATTTCCAAAAGTGTGAAAATGCATATATATATTTACAGTCAGTGCAGTGAGAATTAACATTAAGCTGATGTGTAAACAGCGACTCAGTGTAAACAGCAGTGAAGGCAGCATCATTTCCATTAAGGACCATGTTTGACTGATCAGCTCCTGAGCTACCATCATCTAAACATTTACAGATATCATTATAGATAAACTGTTAAATATTACCAGGGATAACTCTCGCCCTCACGTCTTTCTCTAACAGATTTATGGGCGCTTCTTTAGGAAACTCGGAGCGCTTCTTTCTGATTTCAGCTCTGATTTGGAACCCAGCGGAAGCGGTATCCACCCTGCTGATTCTGAGAGGTAAACACATGTCCATGAGGAAAGACCTGAGTCCGTATAGTGCCGTGTTCTTTAACAGAGGTTCTGAAAGATGACACGGCGTCTCCAGTCTCTGCTCCAGCCCCAGTGCAGCTGTTAGGCGTAGACATCTGCAGGCTGGAGAACGCACCGTACATGCGTATCGTCTCTGATTCCCGCTGCTGCACAGTTCCTGCAGAGCTGCTGAGCAGGACAGCGTTGCAGCGTGTGCTGATGTCCCTCAACATGTCCTCCACCGAGTCCGAGGACTCTGTCTCGTACCCTTCGTCCAGTCGCTGCCGCTTACAGGAACCCGACGAGGCGTTTTCAGCACAAGGAACTGCTGGTTCCACATGTGGATCTCTGACAGTCATCAGTTTCTGGAAGAGAACAATCAAAATCCAGACTGGACTTTGAGAACATCTTACTGAGTAATAAATGTTTAGGTTTTCTCTGTGGCGTCTTTACTTCAAGGACTGAGGCCAGGTGCTTGGCTCGGCAGGCTAACTGCCTGAGGTGATGGTTCCTTTCCTCCAGGGAGTCGAGCTCCTGCTGCCGCCTTCGAAGAGTCTCATGGAGCTGAAGACACACACAAAATCTCTTCTGTTGACATCACCAGTAAAAAAAAAAAAAAGTTTCAATTACACTGGTAATGTGTTTTTAGTAAAGTTTAACTGATAACATGAATTTTGTTGTTTCAATCTGTTCTTTTCAAATTACTTTGTTCAAATAAAATGCTTTTTTTTCTATAACTTTAAGTTATTTATGCATTATTTCACTGTTAGCCCCAAATATTTAAGGTACTCATTACAAAGTCTGACCAAAAAAGAAAAAAGACAAAAGAAACAACATCCACACAATATTTTTCTCCAATTGACGGTTGATGTGTCCCTAAATTAAAAATGTGTAAGGACTATTTGTGACTACCTATGTTTGTTTACGGGAATATAAAACTACTGACACAAACTGCACATTTTGAAATAATTCAAAGTAACCTTTTTGAAGTTTGATTGAACTTTTCAGTGCTTTTTTAAAGGTTCTTTAAAGAGCATCCTTAAAGTCAACAAAACAGAGTTTGACCTCATCAGCTTTTACCTGCTTATTGATGGCCACAGAGTGTCCCAGTGCCCCCTCATGACACTCTGCCATGCCCCTCCACAGAGCTCCATCCTGGGCATAAAAGTTGTCCATTTCTGTGGACGAGTGAATATTGTCCTCCTGAGAGAAGTCCCTCTGAGGGGTGAGAGGAGGGATAACACATCCCTGAAATGGCACCAGTTCAGCTGGAGACAAACTGCTCTCTCTGGAGGTCGAATCTGACAGAGGAGAGATCAAACACTCAAAGATGCAGCCAAGTGGCAGATGTCTTCACTATAGATTAATTATCGCACCTGCAATGAAATCCAGAGCATAATCTCCAAAGTAAGGATCATCTGGATCAGATTCATTAACCTGTGAACAAAATAAATGAGGTTTAACGCACATGGATGAATTTTGGATCAATAAAACCCTATCAGGTGTACCTGAAAACCCCACCAAGTTCTGGTGCAACCAGAACATATCTTGGTGGTCATTTCAGAGAAGGTGTCGTCTCCTCATGTGCGCACAGTGATCCGTGCCAAAGGAGAAGTTTGTGGAAAAAAAACGTGTGGGACGCGGCCAATTATAAGCCCGCGCGCGTCACGAGGAAACTTCTGTCCGCGCAGGATTTCAGCACTTTATGTCAAACATTAACAGAGGGATCCAGACCTGAACCCATCTTAAACCGCTTTCAAGCTGAGGAGGTGGGGTGGGGGGTGGCTTTCATGAGTTCATTGTATAAACTTGAAGGCACAAGACGTTAAAACAATAAATTATATTTTCCTGTGGATCCTCACCTGAGAGCAAACAGAGGCCTGTCTCACCTCAGAGACGCAGTCCTCTAAATCATCCCATGCAATTGTTGAAAAAGCTGCGGGACAACAACAGTGTGAAGAACTTAAAGACATCTTTCACGTGAAGGTCAGAAATGATGCCAAAGGTGCGCACACTACCTTCATCAACGATGCAGGGGAACTCAACGTAAACAGAGACTGGACTGCTGCTTCTTGGCCCTGGGCATTTATCCTGCAGGCAGAGTGTGATATTGTCATTTATGGAGAGCTACAGCGCACTTTCAGAGAAATGCAGTTTTGCTTACAACCCCTCTCCTCTCGCGCTTTCCCATTAGATTGGCACCAAACGCCTTCTTCACTTTGCGCACCTCCATCAGGCTCCTCTGCAGAGCCGACAGGGACATGGTTTGATTTGTGGCTGATATATAGTGAAAATTCTCCCGGTTTGTGTCCCTGTGTGCCGCGGTTTCCCACACTTGGCCCAATCAAATGCACTTATTCGGTCTCCAGGGAGTGACAGCGTCCTCAGTGATGAAATTGTGGACATGTGAAAAGAGCCGCGCATAACAGCGCCACTGCAGCAGCAGGTGCCCTGCAACACACCCTCCTCCTTATACAGCTTAAATCCTCACAGACCTAAACCAAATGCTCAGTAAGGCAAATAAATATAGAAACTTGATTGTAAGCATGTTTGATCGGGTCGGATCAATAGAAATATAGCTGAGCAGTTTATGCGTAATTTTTACCCATTTGTGTGTAAAATATCCTTGAACCTTGGCCAAAACCCGTTTCTGCTTGAAAAGCCAAGTGGAAAAGGAAAAAGGCAGTAAGTGCAGACAGCTCAGTAAACACTAGTGATAAATACCCCTATTAGTAAATAAATAAGGGTCTTTACAGCGCTGAAGGCACCTGTGTGGTCGACACCGTGTCAGCAGGTCGAGCTGCCGCGCGTAATGGATCATCAGATAACCCCCTTAATTACCCCAACTGTGTTGGCACAATTTGGTTTCAGATGCCAATAAACAAAAACGCTGGCTTGCCGACCTTCAGGCAACAAAAGCCCCAGAAATCATTACTATAGGAACGATTTTTATCTCTGTTTCTAATTGCCTCGCTCATCTATTGTGGTTAAGATTTATGTCAGTCAAGAGGGATGGTTCAGTATAGGTTATATTTAAGTAACTATTTTATAAAGAAAAATTCATACATATATAAATATATATAGTC